TTATTTTACTAAAATGTTGGATTTTTATGTAAAAGTTCTTTACACCTGTAGCTTTTACGTCTTAATGTTTTAAATTAATTAGCTTTAGTTCTGTTACATTATGCAAACATGTTCGTTTTGGTACAATCTTGGTTGCGAATAATTGAGTTACACGTTTATTTACTTACCATTCTTTGTTGCTTTCATATTTAAAATAAAACTCATGGATCACAGTTGTAGGAATGTTCTTATGATTTCAAAACTGTGCTTAGAAAAGCAACTGAACAACAAACCAAACTATTTTTGTGACAGAACATCCTGTATGTTTTTACATCTTTCACAAGAAAAATAAAGACGAACGTGTCTTTTGTTACTGCTTGAATTGTCGGACTTATAACACAGTTTTTACCTGCGTATCGACGTACATGTCGTAAGTATTTATTTCTCTAGGTACCTTACAACAAAGACTGATAATACTTATTTTAATAAAATACCGGTTTTCGAGCATAATAGAAAAAATAATAATGTTAAATATTTATTTTAGAAATGTTATAAAAAGTCTTTACATACAATTTTGTTCCATTTTATAACTACCATTTTTGTAGTTTCAGAAATTCGTGTTCAGTTCAATATAAGGGGGTTGACTCACCTCAATACAAAATATTTATTGTATTGTTGTCCAGATATTTAACATGTAATTATACAAACTGATTAATTTACAACGTTACATAGTTTTTATCATTAACATTTATTAGTATGTGAAGATAGACAACACAGCTTTCTTTGACGTGTTATTTGTAATAATTATTAAGCCGACTTTATATTATGATGCTGTTACTTGCCAAATATTTGTCAAACGTAAACAAATGCTGTATCATGTTGTCGGTACATATCCAATATTCGAAAGAATATGTTTACTTGTTCAATATTCGCTAACACATGTTGCTATGACTTCATCAGGTTCATTATCACAGACTGAAATTTATAATGCTTCTATTTTCGTAAAAAAATACTAAGTATATACAAGCATAGAATATCGTATACCTACAGCGTATCCCACTAGTGCGGGAAAGTCCAATATCTATGTTAAAATGAGGAATATATGGATTTTTCATTTTACTGTGTTGCCACATTTCTCGGAATGTACAAATTAAAAATATATTCAACTATACAAGGTGTTCCACTTTTCCTGGCCAGACACCAACTTTGGTTTTTTAAATGGAAACACACATTTTTTATATTTTTTTCGGATTCTACATCAAAAATAAAGGGTACTTTGTGTAGAATAGTTCTATTCTAATATTCACGGTTTTTGAGATATCTCGCTTGAAAGGTTTTTCTAGTCGATATTGGCTGCTTACATTTCTGATACTGACAGGTTATACTAATATATACTAAGCCCATTTTTTATCAGATGTTTAGTAAGGATGACTCTTCCGAATCATGCTCCAAAAACTGGCCTGCGTTATTCAGGGTGACCAAAATATCATGTCAAAATTGCCAATTGAAAAATTGAAAAATCTCGAATTTTTTAAATGCGACACCCTGTATATTTGCATACCATGAGATGCAGAATTAAATTCTCCACAACTTTGTTAAACCTGCTCCTATTCCAAAATTCATTAGTTTTTCTTGAAATCTCATTTCTATGAAAAAATGCGAAGTTTACATATAGCTTATATGTAAAATAACGTAGTAGGCTCATGTCAAAGGATAATCTGGAAAATTTTCGATTCCCATAAGGTTTAATAGAAAAGAGACAGTAATAAGTGTAATGAATTACTCTAAAGAAGAATTAGTAAATAAATAATAGAATAATTAGTAAAACTCATGGTAACTGTTTATTGACAAGTATTTACCAAACTAATAATCCAGATTTACAAAGATATCCTCGTACAAAATGTTTTGTAAAACTGAAGGAGAGGTTTGAAAGTACAACAAATGCAAATTATGAGAAGACAACAAGAACACACGCATGCAGTATCCTAAACAGTAAATTAACATCGTGCATTTCTAACAAAAGTAATAACGACCTAGTTAAATTAGTAATTAACAGGTAACCGCTCAAAATGTCTGCCATTTTTCTCTAGACATTGAGCAATTCTACGACGAAAATTGCTTGACACATTTCGCAGCATTTCCGGAGTTACGGTCAAAAAAGCATTTCTTATTTTTGCCCATAAATCTTCTACATCTGTCGGAGGAGTTTCATACACCCTGTCTTTTATATAGATCCATAAAAAGAAAATCAAGACAAGACGGGTCTGGGGATCGGGGAGGCCATGGAATTGGACCGCTATCCACTTATCTGGATACAAATCATTTAAGTATTCTCTAACCTGAAACAGTTTTTCTATGAATTTACATAACTTACATAATGAGAAAACTTACGGCCAGTGTGGAATGTGCAGGAGCACCATCATGTTGGAACCACTGACTGTTTCAGTCGTCCGGAGGAATATGTCCCTGCAATTGGAGCAAGTCGTTTTGTAAAAATTGCAAATACTCATTACCACTTAAGTTTCCTTCAAGAAAATGTGGTCCAATGACATATTCTCCGCATATTCCCGCCCAAACGTTGACTTTAAAGCGGTGTTGATGATAGTCTTGTCTTATTAATCTGGGATTATGATCGGCGTAATGGTGATAATTATGTCAATTCTCTCGACTAGTATTGGCAAAGGAAGACTCGTCAGTAAATAACACCTTTGAAAAAAAAGTTTCATCTTGTTGTAGCTTTATAGTTGCCCACTGACAAAACTGTACTCGCTTCTGAAAATCTTGCTGTGTTAAGAATTGGTTATGCTCAGAATGATAAGGGTGGAAGTGGTTTTTCTTTAACGTTCTATTAACTACAGTTTTGGAAATACTAACTTCATCACTAATTTCTCTGGCACTTGTAGATGGATTTTGGACTGCACATCCCAAAATGTCAATTTGACTATCCTTATTAATGCATGCGTGTGTTCTTGTTGTCTTCTCATAATTTGCATTTGCCGTTCTTTCAAAGCTCTTCTTCAGTTTTACAAAACACTTTGTACGAGGATATCTTTGTAAATCTGGATTATTAGCTTGGTAAATACGACTTGCCAATAAACAGTTACCATGAGCTTCTCCTAGGGCGTACACCATATTTACTAATTCTTATGTGAATCGAAAATTTTACAGATTATCCTTTGACAGGAGCCTACTACGTTTTTTTTACATATAAGCTATTTGTAAATTTCGCATTTTTTCATAGAAATGAGATTTCATGAAAAACTAATGAATTTTGATATAGGAGCAGGTATAGCAAAGCTGTAGAGAATTTAATTCTACATCTCGTGGTATGAAAATATACAGGGTGTTACATTTAAAAAATTCGAGGTTTTTCAATTTTTCAATTGGCAATTTTGACATGACATTTTTGGTCACCCTGTATAACGCAGGCCAGTTTTTGGAGCATAATTCGGAAGAGTCATCCTTACTAAACATCTGATAAGAAAATGGGCTTAGTATATATTAGTATAACCTGTCAGTATCAGAAAATGTAAGCAGCCAATATCGACTAGAAAAACCTTTCAAGCGAGATATCTCAAAAACTGTGAATATTTGGATAGAACTATTCTACACAAAGTACCCTTTATTTTTTANTATGCATCGCTGCCGTAAGTGGATTATCGAAAAAAAATTTTTCCCACATAACAAGATGCCCTGGATCAAATAAAAATCGACGGGTCTCACCGTTTTTCGAAAAAAAAATTGTTTAACGAAAATATGAATTTTATGCAGAACTTTTTTACCACGCTGCGCTGTATATATTTTCTGTCATATCTACATATTGCGCTGAACGATATTCACTTAATTAGAATTAGAAGAAAAAATACACCACTGGCGGTTTTTTGTAGAAATAATGTTAAATTCAGGTACTGTTACGTTGAATGAATGAAAAGTGTTAATTTACTTATTTGGGGACCATAAAACGCAAATTTAGTCCACATAGTCATATATTTTTTAAAATGCTTCTACAAAAATTTATTCTTTTGTCTACATTATCAGTTAAGCTTTACGATAATCTATAAGTAGCCTGATTAGAAGATGTCAAAAGTATATTGATGCGGAAGGATTTCGTTTTGAACAATATTTGTTGTAAGACTTGTTATTTCATTACTTACTCGACCTATTTGCTAATGATATTTTATTATTTAGTTTGATATTTTATCCAGATATAAAATTATTTCTACAAAAAAAAACGCCAGTGGCGTATTCTCTCTTGGGAAAAGTTAGTGGATGCTTTAGTAGTACGTCACTGGTTAAAATCAGAAGGTTTTTATCAAATAAACGAATTAATTTATTGGGAAAATTCAATAAAACGTAAAAACAAACCCAAATATCCCAACTATTAAAAAACACCAAGAAACATTTTTCATTCATTTAACGTAACAGTACTTGAATGTAACATTATTTTTACAAAAAAAAACTTCAGTGGCTTATTTTTTTTCTTGACAAAATGGGGCGGCACCTCCAGTAGCACGCCACTGGGTAAAGCCACAAGGTTAATATTACATTCAATGAAAGGTCTAATTATGTGAAAACACTGTAGTAAATTTCATTCAGTTCCGTCAGTGCATTATGAAGATATGGCACAAAAAATTTATTTTATTGTAAACTTTAACACCCTGTATTTCGAATATCAAGTCGCGCAGGAAAAAAGTTTATAGAACAAACTCTACTTATTTTCTGATAATGAATCTAATCCTGCAGCTTCTGTATTTAAAGTGAAATCACCCTGTATATTATGTTTTTATAAATTAGTANATATATATATACTGTAAACTTTAACACCCTGTATTTCGAATATCAAGTCGCGCAGGAAAAAAGTTTATAGAACAAACTCTACTTATTTTCTGATAATGAATCTAATCCTGCAGCTTCTGTATTTAAAGTGAAATCACCCTGTATATTATGTTTTTATAAATTAGTAATGATAACACCACTTGTTACATTTTATTTCCTTGAAACTGAAATAATTTTTTTCGTAGGTTTCCCGAGCAACGTGTGCTTCCCTCAGAACCAGATGAACATCACACCTACCACTGGGCCCATGAAAGAGGCAAGGAAACTGACAACTGTTTAGAAATGTTCCCGCAATGTCCATTTTCTTTGATAGATATGGCCCTTGGCCACTATTCGCAATTTGCAAATTGAAAAATTCGACATCAAACTTACAACCGTGAATTTCCTGAAGTTTATTTTATTACCCGTGAAGGGAAGAATACTCACCCTCGTTTGTAGTATGATAATAATTATTATAAAAATGTTACAGTCTCAGATCCCTTCAATAATTATTTTGACTTTGATATTTTCTGTATAGTCTATTTAAATTTCGTTATACAAACAAACGTTTATAAATTCTTCACTCAATAAATTGAGCTGAAGACAATAAAATGTTTTCGACCTGAATTGCTAATAGCCTTATTATAAAAACTTTAATATTTTTTTTACCCCAATAAATTAACCAAGAAATTAGACACAATAGAACTGGTTCCGGTTTATTGTAATTTCCCGCGTAAAGATATATTTTGTGTATTTTTTATTGATATAAGTAGAAACGATATAGGTATTGTTTTAAGATTTTAATTACGTACCTAATGTGGTATACGTATCAACATATTATATACTTAAAGATATTTTTACATTGTTTTACAAATTTGTTATTTAAAATTTTGTATTTAATTATTTAAATGCATGAAATGAATATCATAGTTGTTGGCTGTCAACAGAAGTTTTTTGACGTTTTGATGATTCTGTAGATATTTATTATTTTCATATCCATAATATTATTGTGTGTTTAGTTAATATCGCCTAATGTATAATTTGCTGTTGCGAGACAGGAATTGAGAGACGACGAGTACAGACGAATACTCCTCCTCGAATTGTTACTACGGTTATTTTCAAGAAGTTGTGTATTGTATTGCTAATTAAAACCCTAGACAAACATTAAAAAGCCTACAAATGTTAATAATTTTTTGCTAAATTCCTTGATTACAGTAATTACAAGGAGTAAAAATTAGGTAAACAATTTTAATGGAAAAGGGATTAGCCTGTTTGAACCCTTTTCAATACGGCCTGCAGACTATATTGTCTTCGTTAAATAATTTTTGGAATGATGACATTTTGAAGAGTAGATAATATTATTAGCATTTTACGAAATAAAATTTAAAAAATATTTATTAAAATTACATTAAAAACTATTAGAAAATAGTTAAGTTGAAACCAGTCCTTCAAAACATGAGTACATTTTAATTAAAGCACAAACGTGCCAAATTTAGCACTTGTTTTACGTATGGTAGTTTCCGTATGGGTTAAACGAAAAAAAAAATCGACCTCGTCGATTTTTTTTGGACCTTTGGAATGTTAACCTACTTTAAATTTTATGAGACCCGTGTTTTTTGTTTCCCCAAAAAAAATTTTTGGGAAAAAGTCTTACAGTATACAATTGTAATAGCAATAAATATAAATTTATTTTGGTAAAAGTAGCAGATATTAATATATCTTACTAAGTCTAATTATATAAAATAATATATTAAATGTGCCCTTATCAATTTTTACAAAACACTTTCATTCTATGTATCTATGTATGTATGTATATTTTATCATAGTACAAAACATTAGTTAATATAAAACTATACACGTTACTTTAACAATTTATATAATATAGTCTCAGATATTATCAAATATGTCCTTCAACACATTTTTTAGAACCTCACTTGAAAACTAGCTTTCTGGTAATTTTCGCTGGCTTTGAGCTCCGTTACTCTTTTTAGACGCGGCTACTTGTCTTACCTTCTTCGTTTTCTTTAATTTTTTTATTGGTATTAGATCAGGCATACCTTCTAATTTAGCAAGCATATACTCCAACGTATACGCACTCACATTATTTTGAAACTCGTCAAGTTGCACAACGTTCTTCGTCTTTATTGGATTTTTTATTGGTATCAAATCCGGAATACCCTCTAAATTAAGCTCCATGTAGTCCACCATATACGAACTCACATCATAGTCGTCTACAAAGCCTTCGTCTGTTTCTATTTCAAACATTTTGAATTACTTCGAGTATTTGGACTGACTGACACTGAATACTCTTTGAGAGACAGGTTAGATTTATTTAAATTTATTAGGTACTTCTTAATTTTATTATAAGCATCTAAGAGCCTTTTTTGCTGCAATAGGAAATCGTTATCTGGATTAAGGCCGTAAGTATCCCAAACAATTCTAATTAATCAATTAATACTAACTGTTATTTGCAATAAACTAATATCAGGCATTTTATTACTTAATCCCTACAATACTGCCTACAAAATTAGTTCTTCGTAATCATATCTCATTATAATACATTACATTAAAATGTAATTAATATTTTCAGTAAATAAACGTGTATAAAAGACGGATAGAAATTACGAAGATCAAAACGTTTTCTTGACAATTGATTAATTTTGATATATTTAATTAGCTACAAAAAACTTGAATTTAATTGTCGAAATGTTATACATATATGTATACAGATGAATTGAATTTTCACCAAAAGCTTTTTCAAATATATTTCAGAAAACGTTAACCGAAGTCCAGGTTCTATGTATTTCAGAGGAAGATTAATTTAAAAAACTATTAATTAAGTCGAATATTTTGGAAACGTAACATATCCCTGGAATAAAATTCAAATTTTCTCAAATAATTTTGAATCTGAAAAATCTGAAATAATTACCTTAGATTATAAAGGTCATGGTAAATACACTTGCACAATAACCAAACTAAAACTGTAGGGATTCTTCACTATACTCCCCACAGATTGCTCGTAAACGGTTAGGAAAATAGATATATAGATAAATAATAGATAGATAAATTTTTATTAATGTTACTTACACAAAAAGTGTTTACACACGTCAAAAAGAATAACAGGAATGGTATAAAGTTTTTAGGGAAAAAATAAATAATAAAACACAACACAGTATACACACACGTACAGCAATGTTGACACGTAATTAGTACAGAATACAAAGAACAAAAAAATGGAAATAAAATAACAGTATAAGTAGAAGCAATAAATGGTTGTCAAATGTTAAAACAAAAATGTTTGAAAGAAGACGTATCATGTTAAAATAATAATAAAATAAGATTATGAGTAATGTTTAATTTATAAGAAAAAACTGAAACAATGCAACTGAAATGTGCGAAACTACGTCTAACTTAATTATATTAGGGTGAGATCAATTTTTTAAAATTCTTGCGTAGTATAAAATGCGTTGGTTAAAGAAAGTGTTTTATTTTGCTTTTAAATAATATAGGGTTAAGATGACGTACTGTTGCTGGTAATACAATAAAAAACTGAATTAGTGTTTTACTTAAGCGATGAAAATTTAAATTTATGCCATTTTTGTTTCCAGTATTATGAGACTGGATTTGGCTACAGACAGTAGGTATACAACTCTTCATTTTCTTTAACGTATAAAAGACACTGGAGTATATATGAATGACCCCAAACCAGGATAGCATAGGATATTCGGGAGTGAGTAAGGCTATGATAAGCAGTAAACAAGCTGCGAATTAAATATATGCCTTTGAAGATTTTATTGTAGTGTTTATCCCATTGCAATTTCGGATCCAAATATATTCCCAGAAATTTTACTGCATCAGGATTGTTTACATCGTCCACTTCACGAAAGATGACCATCATTTTTTCGGTCTTGCTTAGATGCGTTTAGGCATAAGTTATTTGAAGTGAACCAATGTAATGCGTTATCCTCGATTATTGGAATGTCCACCATCAGATTATCCGAAACATTATTGACTACGGATAAGCTAGTGTCATCAGCGAAAAGTATCGTGAACACATCTTTACAGAAGTTGGGAAATCATTAATACATAATAGGAATAATAGTGGTCCCAGAACATAACCTTGAGGTACTTCGTAACTCAAATTTAATGTTTTTGATTTGTAGTTATTATGAACCACGGATTGTTGCTTATTACAGAGGTACGAATAAGTGATGTGCTTCGGGAGTACAACTATAAAATTGTAATTTATCAATAAGTACCTACATTGTGACAGATGCAATCGAAGGTTTTGTTGAGGTCAACAAACATCGAATACACATTCTTATCCCCATCAAACCCACTGTTTATAAATGAAGTCAACTTGTCTGTCTATTGCAAGTGTAGTTGCCATATTACTTCTGAAGCCGAACTGATTGGACCTGAAGAGATTGCTATTTTCTAGATATACAAGAAGTTGATTTTTCAATATTATTTTGTAAATTTTTGCGAAACAGGGGATGATCGATATAGCTCTGTAGGTTGATGGATCGTTGGTATCATAAAAAGCAATTAGTAGCCTATGTGGCACGCTGTGTTAGTTTTTTTAATATTCTATAATATTGTTTCTTGTTGTTATGTTAAAATTGCATTTCTGCAAAATCAATATTTTTCATAATGCTATATATCAACGAAGTACAGGCCTGTAACGTACGGTTAATTAGGGATCTACTTATTAAGTACGTGAACCACAGGGTATATTTAAATGAAAGGGCACAAATGATTAAAACTAGAAGAAAATAATATAAACTAAATGGCCAATGATTGTGAATCTATTATATGAGTAAGATTATATGATTTCACCAAGAAAATTGTCCAATTGGGCCCGTTGTTTCTTTTGTAAATTCTCCTTATAAATTTATAGTACAAGTTTTTAATAAATTTTTTAAAAGAAAGTTAAATTTTTCTTTTCAGTTGGCAATAATATATTCTTTAAATTTAACAGATAAAATTAAGAATGTATTTGTTTCTGAAATCTCTATCTTGGCTTCGCTTGATGTTTGTAACTGATAAAACATGTATGTACTAATGTCATTGCTTTTTGTTACAATGTGTTTAATTTATCTGATGATCTTGCAAATTGTATTTTTAGTTTACTTAAAATTTGTCCTAATCATATTTTTAATTTTAGTAATATGACTAAAAAACAAACTGATAGTCTTGGAATGGGTAATACATTAGCACCGTCACATTCGAATGTTTTTATAAATTATTTGGAGTTGGTTTTGTTTGTATCCGTTTTCGAATGTTAATATTCACAAAAATAAACTTGTATATTTTGTCCAGGCGGTAGAGCAGTAAAAGTAGGCTTTGGCGCTTGTGTTTGAAGTCATGTATTTTGTTGAATAAGAATCCGAGTTGGCCTATTCCAAAATACCATTGCTAAATTCAGGGGAACAACAAAAATACAAAAAGAACGAAAAAGGACCCGACTACGACGTTGTTTTTTGTGTGCAAGA